ATTACAGTGGTTGAATGTTTTGAAGAAACTGCAAATGGTAGTTGTTTTTTTTTATAGAAAAAGAAGAAAACTACTTTGAATTAGATGAACAAGAAAACTAAAAATTCCCAGGTCAGGGGTATGTTGTAGGATTTATAAAGAATGTGGGTTCAGAGTACTCCACCAGCATCTTTAAAGAAGAAACAGGTATTTAGAAGTGTGGTTTATGAAAAAAAAAGGGAAAAAAACATGCTAAGACCAAACTAATAGATACATAATCAAGACATACTCAAGTAAATGCCTTGGCCCTACATCAAAATAGGGGAAGATGAGCGCTGTATACATTTTAAGTTTTATTTTAATTTTCTGTTTTTAAACCATTACTTTTATAGACTTTCTAAATTAACCAATTAACTACCAGCATTAAAATACCCCAAATCAATGTTAAATATTCATTAAAATTAATTTTAAAATTCAAACACATGACATGCAATGTGAAAATAACAATTATATGAACTGATATAAGAGCTTATATTCAATTGTACAAATTTTTTGTAGAATCAGATAATAAGTGCTGTCAACATTAGTATGATTGGTATACCACTCTGTGTGGGATTATAAATGGCCATTAGCTTTCCACCAAGTTATTGGAATCTTTAAAAAAAAATTTAATTTAAAAAATAAAATATCAAGACAGTTTAATAACTCAACTGCCTAAATGGGTAAAAAAAATTATTTTTTTTACCTTTCTACATAAACTTAAACAGTCTAACATGTCTTATGAAAAGGGTTGACTTTTAGAACAATTTAGAAGTCTTTAAGAGCCTTCACATAGTCATGATTCAATTTCATGAAAGACCGGGTAAGGTAGGAGTACATGAAGTCCTCAATGAAAGGTGGTGAAAATGGAAATCCAATCTAAATACATGTCCTAAAACTTTCATTAATAACTTTGTGAATGGCAACCACCTATTTAGGTATGTTTTCATCCTGATATTACGAAGCTTGAAACTGAGTCTATTCCTCCCTCCTGCCTTCACTATGTACATGGTTTTGGGGGAAATGCTTTTTTGGGTGTAGACAAGTTAAGTTCTAGGATCTCAAAATATCTCAGTGGTATTTGTCAACACAGTACCAGCTCTGTGCCTCACCCAACACAGAAGTCTGAAGGTAAAAACAGATCGAAAGGGAGAAGAATGAATTTCAGTTTTACCCACAAGCAATTAAAATGCATCTGGCAGACTTAGATTTACGGCTCTTCCCTTGCTCTTACACATTTCAGGGCCAACTTTCATGTTCCATTTCCAACATCCCAGATAGAGTATTAAGATATGTTTGGTACTGGATATAAGAGGTTACGAGGAAAGAATTTCTACAAAAGAAGCAGGTTGAAAATCAGTCATCTTCTCGTTGTGTTATGGAAAGGAGGAAGGGTTCAGAGAGTATTGCAGAGGGGAGAGACATCTTGTTCCTCTATATACAAGACCTCCCAGAATAGCACTGGTTTTAAACTCTGCACCAGCACCCTTGTTTATGGCCTGATCTGAATTCCCAAAAGCTGGGTTCTTTAGTAACAGAGAGAAGTTGCCACAAACCAGCTTTGTCTGTTTCTTTTTCCTTCCCTTCCCTTCCCTTTCTCCCTCCCTCCCTGACAAGCTTGTGGATCAACACTGTCTGTTGAAAAAGGCTATCATAGAAATAGCACAAACACAAAGTTGGCTGGAGTCACAAATTAAACAGGTGAAAAGGACTCTCAATCAGCAGCAGCATTGCCAGTCCCTTACCTCAGCCATCAGGAATTGAAAAAAAAATAAAAGGGTTAAACCACAATCATAGTGCATTGAGATCAAACTAAATATGGCCCTAAAAAGAGGCTTGTCAATTCTATGCCCATCCATACCCGTTGTCTTCCATTTGGACCATGAAGTACAACATTAAGGTCTAAAGAGTGAAATGTACCGTATGATTGATTAAAGCAGGACAGTCTCATAATCCTGTATTAAGACCAAAGGAAATCAAAGCATACTCAGGTTGCAGCATGTGCTCATAAAAAAGCTCTCAATTTGATTTCATAAGAAATATTGATCCTCTCACTTTGGCTACCACACATGATTGGGGTCAACATAGTGCCTTCTATGTTGAAATTCCTTTGAGGGCCTGGATTCACATAGATAAAAGAAAACGTATAGGAGTAACTTTATTTAAACAAATTATATCTGAGGCTGCTTATAAAACAACCAAGAGTACTCTTATTGAAAGGCTAAACAGCTTCAAAAAAAAAAAAAAAGGAAAATAGTCAATGTTATCAATGGCTCTCCTCAAACTTACAGAAGGTTATGACAAGGTAAGGCTTTATTTAAATAGACTTGATTATCTCCATACTATGTTTAAACATCAATTATATATTTCACAATTATTTCTTCACTAAATACACTATTCAAGATTTGTGATCTTACTCAGTGGAATTAACTAGGTAACTTTCAAAAGCATAACCCATTAAAAGTGGTTCTTTGCTTTTAGTATTTGCATTTAACCAGTGACACTGATCTTTTATATGTTAGACAGTGCTTTGGCTAAGTAAAATAATCCAAGTTTACATTGACTATATATATATATATATGAATGTATAATAAAGTCTGAAAACACAACTCAATATAGTGTAAAAGGCTGTTTGTACACTGGTCAAAATCACTGTTCCTCCACTATCTGTAGTCAACCTCTCCCTGGCTTGAAAAATTTGTAAACTAACCTACACTTTCAGATCCAAAATGCTTCAAAGATATTTTTGGTGACGTACTCTGCTTGTGGCAATATGTTTAAGGTATTTGTTTCTAAAGAGTCTAAAGGAAAGGCAAGTCCTGGGCAAGTAGGTGGGAACCCAAGAGATCTCAGTGACAGAAGAAAGTTTTGGTTCAGTCCATGGTCTAAAGGTTGGAAGAGGAGAAGAGTCAACTTTCAAGCCGTTCTTCTCCCTCTGCCCTTCAAGTTCAACATTTCTTTGATCCTACAGAAAATTAGAAACAGTCTTCTAAACTGGGCCTTACCCACAGCAAAAATAGCTTTTGCTTGCAAAAATTCCTATTGTCCATTAGCAAGTGTGTTTATTCTAGAGTGCACCAGCCTCTTCTGCAAAGAGCTGTGCTGCCTTCACAGATAGGATCCTTCTGACTGCCCTAAGATGAACGTAAAGACATTCATCCTATAAGCCTTGAGGTAATCAAATCAACAGCAAAGACCCTGTCATTAAAGAGCTGGTGAGTCTTGAGAAAACAGAGCATCCTCCTTAGCTGTACTCAGGTGCTATAACACAATGTGTCCTGAAAAAACAGAAAAAGAAAAGAAAAAAACCTACTGAACTCTGAAGGTAGGCGCTGGGCAAAAGGGGAATTTCTCTCCTGGGAACTTTAGTGATATGATCAAAACAGGTGAAAAGTATAAATACCAAATATTCAGGCCATTCTTCAACTCACAATAGCAGTATTGAAAATCCCTCAAATGAAACCTTTAGTTTGTTAATCATCCTGCAATTTTGAACCAAAAATTAATTACACTGTACTATTTCTTTAAATTACCATGTAACCTAAGTATTTAAACTCATCTTTTATAAAAACTACCTAATCTTCTTTTCACTAAAATGTCCCTTGTTGATAAATGCAAACCAGGTCATTTTCTGCTGGATTTGCATACTTGCTTTATCCCTTAATTTGACTCCTTATTAAAGGTTTAAAAAAGAGGAAGACCTGGACCTCAGACACACATATGACAAATACTGCTTATATGTGTATGTGAACATTGAATCCATTAACAGATTCCTCCTCCTTTTTCCCTGGGGCTGAGAGCCCTGTCAATAATCATTACTTATTAAACAGGCTGCCATTCCCTTCTACAGAATGTAGGAAGGGAGCATGGAGGGGTAGAAATAATTACCATGGGCTTTCTTTTAAAACCTCAGGAATGGAATACAAGGAAACCAACTGAAAAATGACATGAAATACACACACACACACACACACACACACACACACGGTTGGGAAATACACCCACACTCAATTATTCCTATCAACTATCAAAAGAAAAGATTAAAAATCTGGGGTCTTCAGGATAGACACTTATGTATTTTCAATCCACTGAATATGTTCACACAAACACTTGCACATCCTTTATGCCTTCAAAAAACTCAAGCTAGATTTGTTGCGAGAAGCCTCTAAACACCTCCTGAGAAAAAACGTGTTCTCAAAAATGACTGCTTCAGCCAAAGGAGAGAGGAACAGCAAGTTACCGCTTTGACTGCCATTCTGGTACGTGGCAGATTCCCTCTTTCTTCCTCTCTTCTCCTGGTCTCCCAATTTATCTTCTAGTCTTTTTTTTTTTTCTTTAAGCACAGTAAGGAAGGGCATAAGGAATTTCCCACTTGGGCCTTACCCACAAAGATACTAAATAAAAAAAAATAAAAAAAAATAAAAGTTTCAAGGGTTAAATAACACCCAAGGGTAAGACCAAAGGTCAGGGAAATTAGCAGATGACTGAAAGCAACCCAGGTGTTCCTACTGAAGAGTTAATGATGAGATGAGCACTCTTCCTTTCCCCCAGATGTTATGACTCAAAACAGAAATACATTATGAAGAAAGCATAGACCAGGCAGTTTTTAGAAAATAGCCTTGCACAGAATTTGAACTGGCAGACTGGGGGTTTGTCCTAAATAACCTTCACAGGTTGTACAAACTGTTCCCATATCCTGATCAACAGTCAGATTAAGAACCTTCCTAACATTTCCTAGTATAAGAACAAGGTGGGGGTGGGGTGAGAGGTCAATTAGTCACCTAAAACATTTATAGAGATATGGAGAAATATACATCTCCTATGCAAATAAATAGAAAGCTACCATGCTTGGGGTAAACTGGCCAGTACTGGCTGGCAGCACTGGAACAGAGGTTGAAGATGCTACATTCAAAGTGAGATCTGTTGCAAAAGGGTGGGATGTTCTCATCCTTGAGTGCAGAGAACTCTGTCCCATTCCGCCTGTATTTTTCAAGCCCTGAGGGAGGAGAGACGAGGTTCACACCCCACCTTTGGGAAAGGAACAAAAGCAAACGCTTGGCAGAGCTGAAAACACTCCTCCTTCCTCAGGACCCCAGAGGCGGCAGCTCCGCAGAGCT